GTACGTTGTATATTTTTTCCCCATAAACATACAAACACGAGTGCAGTACCAATTAGTAACTCGTAGCAGATAGTATATCATTACTTTAACGAGACCGAGTGACCAATAAGGTGTTACACATAAGTTTCAATGATGACAATAGTGCAAATCTAATTGTATCTATTCGATTGCAGAAAATTAGGAGGACAATGCTCAATCAAAGAAAGTTAAGATGTCAAGAATATCAGAAAGAAAACAAGATCAAATGCAGCAAGGACAATACTAAATCAAAGGATGTCAAGACCACCAAAAAGAAAATAATATTAAGTGCAGTCACTATAGGAAGACAATCCTTACTTCAAGGATCGATTTGGAATCTAAAGATTTTGAGGATTGATCGATCAAGTCAAATCACAAATCGCTCCCTTGATCGTGAATGAGAAAAGGAAGGAAGTTAATAAATCCAGCCCATCTCTTGAGAAGGATTCTGAGGCACCCCTTGGGTCAAAACTCTTAGAATATTTTGTGCCTCAATCAAGGGTAAATCTGCAATGGCTACTCAAGACTCTCGTATAAGAAAGCTGGCAGACTCAAGAATTCGATTACGCAACTTATCACTATTTTCTATACCTTTCTAGTTCTTAGCACAAGCACTGTATTCCTGAGTTTACTAGTATCTCAAAAGATAGAAAGTGTTAAGAAATAAAATAATAGTTGTGTCAAGTTTGAAAAACATTGTTGCTAAAAATTATTGGTGGTAAACGATTCAAAAACCACTACTGATGTCACAAACTATTGAAGATCTAAGAGAACCCTTGTGACTTAAGGGAACTGGGTGTAGGTACCACACTGGTACTGAACCAGTATAAAGCTCTTGTGTTCTTCGCTTTTAAATTCCTCGCAATTTATTTTCATTGCCAATCAAACCTGCTGATAAAGTTAAGTCGACTAAGTTTTTAATTAAGTTACAATTCACCCCACCGCCCTTTTGGACTTTTAATTGGTATCAGAGCAAGAACTCACATTGTTGCCTAACAGCAAGTGAGGAAAAGATCATAACGTCAAACACAGTTGTTGGAGCTCTATTTCAAGAAGGGACTTCTCAAGTAAGACCACCATACTTCAATGGTTAGCACTTTTCACATTGAAAAGTGCATATGAAAACCTATACTATGTCATGCGACATCAAAGTATAGCGTGTGATCAAAAAGAGAAATCTTTAAATCCCTCCAAAGAAGGATAAAGATGGTGAGATCATAGTATCACCTGATCCTCTGGACTTAGATGATTACACTAAAGAACAAACAATTGTTATTCAAGTGAATGTTAAGGCTAAAAATCTTTTATACAATGCCATTAGCGGTGAAGAGTATGAAAATATATCAAGTTGTGAAACTATTAAAGAAATGTGGGATAAGTTAGAAGTCACATATGAAGGAACGAAACTAAGTGAAGGAGACAAGAATAAATCTCCTTGTGCATGACTATGAATTATTTCAAATGAAAGACGGAGAATCAGTTGAAGAAATGTTCTCTCGATTCAGCAAAGTTCTTAGGGACTTGAAATCCTTTAGTAGACCAATCAAAAGATGAGAACATGTCAGAAAAATTCTAAGAAGTCTACCACTATTTGGCAACCCAAAGTTATTACTCTTAAATGTTAGGACCTCGACAAGATGTCATATGATGAACTCAGGGGTGATCTTATTGCTTTTGAGAAAACACAATTAGACAGGCAAGTTCATCAAGAGAAAAGGAAAACAGTCGCTTTTAAAGCAACTGTGGATGAATCAGAAATTGAAGAAGAAGAAGAAGAAGAAGAAGAAGAAGAAGAAGAAGGAGGAGGAGGAGGAGGAGGAGGAGGAGAACAAGATGAAAACATTGCTATGCTCTCCAAAGTCGTGACAAACATGATGAGGAGGAATAGGAACAATAGAAGAGGCAAGCTGAACTTCAGAAAAGGGAAAATGGGAAATAAAAATGACAAAAATGATGGAAGATGCTATGAATGTGGAACACAAGGACACATTCAAGTAGAGTGCCCTGAACTGAAAAAGAAACTCAACAGAAACCTTCAAAAGAAAAAGTCTTTTGGAGCTTGGAGTGATGAAGAAGAATCTGATCATGAAGAAATTACCAACATGTGCTTCATGGCTATGAATGATGACAGTGATGGAGACTCAAGTGGATGGGTCTCATGGCAGATGAAGGAACCAGTGAGGTACGTTCTCCTATGTATCCCAAATGTAATAAACTTCAAGAATTTATTGATATTTCTCTTGTTGACATTGAGAAGGTCCTAAATGAGCTTCGAAAGATTCAACGAGAAAAGAAAGACTAGGGTCTGAAACATGAAGTATATGAAATAGAAAAAGACATGCTTCTAGAAGAAGTTCATGAATTTCAACTTCAACTGAATGGATTAAGAAAATCTACTAGCCAAAGTTCCATCAGATCTAACCAGTCAACTTCTCGTATTAATTCATTTAGGAAAAGAACTTACACTGCATGCATTCATTGTGGCAAAAATGGGCATAAATCTAACCATTGCAGGTTAAGAGATAAGATTTCTGAAATTCCTACCAATCCATCTTATTTTTATTGCGGAAAATCTGGCTATGCCTCCAATCATTGCAGGTTCAAGAATAACAAAAGATGGGTTTGGCGACCCAAGGCCTCCAACCAGGCTAACAATGAGAACACTAACCGTCCATGACCCAAGTAGGCTTGGGTACCTAAAAACAAGTAATTTATTTTTGCAGGAACACCGCAAGAAGAATCTATAAGGGAAATGGTATCTCGATAGCGCGTATTCCAGACACATGACAGGTGACAAATAATTATTCAAATCTATCACTAAACTTGATGGTGGATCTATCACTTTCGGAGACAAATCAAAGGGAAATATAATTGGAGTAGGAAGAGTTTCCCTTAACTCATCATGAGATGTAGATGAGGTCTACTTAGTAGATGAACTTGGTTACAACCTGCTCAGCATCAGTCAACTATGCGACAATGACTATGAGGTTCGTTTCAAAAAATATGGTTGGTTCATTGAAGACGAATCAGGTAAAATTATCCTATCTGGAAGTAGAGATAGAAATGTCTACACTCTTAGCAATATTGACAGTCTGGGGAATCAAATTTGTTTAGCTTCAATGATTGATGATCTCTGGTTATGGCATAGAAAGCTTGACCATGCTAGCATACATACAATTCAAAAACTTTCCAAACGTGATCTTGTCATTGGTCTTCCAAAACTATATTTTTCAAAAGATCAAATTTGTGATACATGTCAACTAGGAAAACAAATCGTTCATCTTTTAAAATCAAAAATATTGTTTCTACTACAAAACCTCTTCAATTTTTGCATATGGATCTTTTTGGTCCAACTAGAACTGCTAGCATTGGTGGTAGAAAATATGCCTTTGTGTAGATGATTTTTCTCGTTTCACCTGGGTTATTTTTCTAAGTCATAAAGATGAAACTCTAAGGAATTTTGAAGTCTTCTGTAAGAAGGTACATCGTAAAAAGGGATATTACACTTCTGCTATAAGAAGTGATCATGGAGGAGAGTTCGAAAGCAGAGCCTTTGAAAACTTTTGTAATGATGAAGGAATTTCTCACAACTTCTTTTCCCCAAGATCACCTCAACAAAATGGAGTGGTAGAACGTAAGAATAGAACCTTGCAGGACATGGCAAGAACCATGATTGTGTAAAACTCTCTCTCACACCACTTCTGGGCAAAAGCTATAAGCACAGCATGTCATATCATTAACAGATGCCTGATTCGACCCATTCTTAAAAAGACTCCATATGAGCTATGGAATGGTAAGAGACCCAACATCAGTTATTTAAATCCATTTGGCTATAAATACTTCATTTACAATAATGGAAAGGACAATCTGGGTAAGTTTGATCGAAAAAGCGACGAAGGTATTTTTCTTGGATATTCTTCTTCAAGTAGAGCATATAGAGTATTCAACAAAAGAACCTTATGTATTGAGAAATACATTAATGTTATTTTTGTGGATACTAACCCTCGCTTAAGGAATGAAAAACTTCCTGAAGATGAGAAAATTTCTATTGTCCCAAAGACTGTTATTACAAGAAAAGACATTCACGATCAGGAAATCAATCAGCAAAATCAGTCAACCGAGGAGCACATTGAAATCCATGAACCATCTTATGTTGAACAGTCAACTACATTGGAAAAGGAGCCAATCACAAGTATTCCAAATGAATGAAAAAGTGAACCTGGATATCCCCACAAGTTCATCATCGGAAATCCATAAGAAGTTATCACTATGAGAAGGTCTCAAAAGCTCAACTCTTGCATGGCCTTAATATTACAACTTGAGCCAAAAAGGTTGATGAAGCTCTCAAAGATGACTACTGGGTCAAAGCCATGAAAGATGAACTTTATCAATTTGAAAGAAATAAAGTGTAGGACTTGGTTCCAAAACCATCCAATGCCTCCATCGTAGGAACTAAATGGGTTTTCAGGAATAAGCTGAATGAATCTGGTCAAGTAGTTCATAATTAAGCAAGGCTAGTCGCCCAAGGTTACTCACAGCAAGAAGGAATCGACTACGATGAAACATTTGCTCTTGTAGCAAGATTAGAATCCATTCGAATACTACTTGCTTTTGCTGCTCATAAAGGATTCAGGCTATTTCAAATGGATGTAAAAAGTACCTTCCTAAATGGATATATCCCTGAAGAAGTATATGTGAAATAACCTCCTGGCTTTGTAAGAAACAGTTTCCCAAACCATGTATTGAAGTTGTCAAAAGCTTTATACGGACTCAAACAAGCCCCTCGAGCCTGGTATGAAAGACTAGGCTCTTTTCTTCTAAATCAAAGTTTCAAACAAGGTAATATCGATACAACTCTGTTTATTAAGCGTTCAAATTCAGGTAATCTTATTACTCAAATTTATGTAGAAGATATTATTTTTGGAAGTTCTAACTTTGTATTATGTGAAGAATTTGCTCATATTATGAAAGGAGAATTCGAAATGAGCATGATGGGAGAGCTAACTTTCTTTCTTGGATTACAGATCAAGCAATCTTCCAAAGAAATCTTCATTAGCCAAGCCAAGTACACCAAGGATCTCATAAAAAAGTTGGGAATGGAGAATGCAAAACCTATTGGAACTCCAATGAGTCCAACAACTACTATTGAAGGGGACAAGAATAGAAAAAGTGTGGATGAAATAATATATAGAGGAATGATTGGATCTTTACTATATCTCACTGCTAGTCGACCAGATATAATATTCAGTGTTTGTAAGTGTGCAAGATTTTAGTCGGCTCCAAGGGAATCTCATTTGAATGCAGTTAAACGCATTATTAGATACCTCATTGGGACCACTGAATTAGGATTATGGTATGCTCATTCTAACAATTTTGATTTAAAAGGTTTTTCAGATGCAGATTTTGCAAGTGATAGGACTGACAGGAAAAGAACTAGTGGGACATGCCAATTATTGGGGAATGCTTTAATTTTCTGGCATAGCAAGAAACAAAATTGTGTTGCCTTGTCAACTACTAAAGCAAAGCATTTAGCTGTTGGAAGTTGTTGTACACAAATTCTTTGGATCATGCATCAACTTCTCGATTATGATTTAACTCTTACTTCCACTACTATTTTTTGTGATAACACAGGTGCTATATGTTTTTCAAAAAATTATGTGCATCATTCTAGGGCAAAACATATAGAAATTAAGCATTATTTTATTCGTGATCATATTGCAAAAGGTGATATTTTGTTAGAGTTCATTAGCATTGAGTCTCAACTTGCTGATATTTTTACAAAATCACCTTTGGAAGAACGTTTTTGTCTACTGCGTAAAAAGATTGGTATCATATCTATCGCGTAAAGATTTTTCTGTATCTTTGCAAAATATTTTACTTCCTTTTTTGTTTGCTTAATTAATGGGTTTATTAATTTGATGTGAGTAAAATTATTACTCTTCCATTAGTGCTGCCGAAGCAACTCCTCAGAAGTGTCACTTCAATCTGAACCTACCCTTTCCTCTAACTGATGCAACCCTTCAATCTTCCAAGAGCCTAGTTAAGTACTCTCCTCTTCTATTATTCTCCATCACTTCACACCAACTCCTTTACCATAGCTAAGAGAAACCTCTCATCCTCCACTGCAACAAGACGAATCAGGTGGTTTCAAAAATCCCAAAACCCTAAAGAAATCATTGACCTTGAATCATCTCTTGACTCATACATTCTCAAAACCGATAATGAAAGTAGTGACTCATAGGAGGATCTTCCCATAAGCCAGAAAAAGGCTGGAAAAAGACCTATGGATCAAACCCTCAAAAGGCCTACACGCAAGAAAGGGAAAGTGGGAAGCATAATTTTGGGCTAGAGGATAAACTGAACTTCTACGAACCAAGTGAGAAATAGAGGTTTGAGTCTTATAAGTATAAATATATGGCTTATGGACGCTCTGTAAGTCTCTCTCTTATGAAAGATATGCACTATGATGTAATTTTTATCTTTAATTTTCAACGTCTTTCTCCTCTATTTGATATTGTTGGAAATTCTGTGTATGAAGAACCTGTGAGGATGTTTTATGCAAATTTGTTCGTTAATGACAAAGATAATTTGGAGTCAATGGTCCTAGGTACTCGTATTGTTCTTGATTCGTATCAAGTTGAGAAGATTTTTTCTGCTATGTTTCATGGGTATGATGTTTTTGTGCAAAACTCCTGGCCAAAAGACTTTGAAGTTACTTTAGAAGAGGCAGGAGTTTTTTTGTCTGAAAACCCTCCTGACATTGGTCCTAAAAGTCTTGAGTCTGAACACCGTGTGCTAGCCCACATGATTTCTACTACTCTCCTTCTTAGGACTGGGTCTCTCAGCACTTTGTCTACTAGGGATATCTTTGTTCTTTACTGCCTTGTGAACAATAAAAGGCTTGACTTGTTTGTGTGTATTCGTCAATATATGCTTGAAAGTATCAGTGACATATCTTCTTTTGTTGCTTGTTTACCTTATGGATTGCTCATCTCACATATTCTTGATGTCATGAAGGTTGATCTAGCACCTTTTTCTCCCAAGTACATTTCAAGCACCTATGCTAAGACAACCTTTGCTATGATGGGTTACACCTTCAGTGACGATGGATGGGTCAGGCATGCCAAGATTGAAAGCACTCCAATACAAGTTGAGCCAACCACTGAACCAACTGAGCCTCAGTCGACTGCTACCAACAACCTACTGCAAATTCAACAAGGACTGGATAGGGTAAAAACCATGCTCATTGCAATGAATAAATAGGTGGACAAGATCAGGGAAGTCACTAAAGAAACAGGTACAGATGCAGCTAAGCTCAGGATGGACATGGGAGCCACAAGGAGGCAAGGAATCAGGGCATTCAACTCCATGACAGAGAAAATGGACAAAATCACCAAAGAAGTTGAAACCTCCTATGACTCTTTCTACACCAAAGTGATCAATACCCTGAAATACTTTATGGGGGAGAACTAAGGCAGTTGTGTGTGTGTTTAAAATAATCGTGTTTGCTCTTTGTTTGTTTTGTTTTGTTAATTGTTTTTGCTTTGGTCTGTAAGAACCATCACTATGTGCCTCTGTTGAAGGCATAATATATGCTACCCTAACTATTATGTTCATTATCTACTCTGTTATGTCTATTTTGTCTTCACTTGCTTCTTTCTTTTTGATTGATGTCAAAGGGGGAGAAAATGTGAGAGTAAAGTAGACAACAACTTAAGGCGAGCAACACTTCAGTAAAGGGAAGTGTAGAGCAACAACTCAGCGGGAGCACCACTTCAGTACATCAAAGGGAAGTGTGCTCTGTTTACTCTTTTTGGTTGTTATCATCAAAAAGGGGGAGATTGTTACACCTAAGTTTCAATGATGACAATAGTGCAAATCTAATTGTATCTATTTGATTGCAGGAAATTAGAAAAACAGTGCTCAATTAAAGAAAATCAAAAAATCAAGGATATTAGAAAGGAAACAAGATCAAATGCAGCAAGGACAATGCTAAATCAAAAGATGTCAAGGCCACCAAAAAGGAAAAAATATCAAGTGCAGTCACTATAGGAAGACAATCCTTACTTCAAGCATTGATTTGGAATCTAAAGATTCTGAGGATTGATCGATCGAGTCAAATCACAAATCACTCCTTTGATTGTGAATGAGAAAAGAAAGGAAGTTAATGAATCCATCTCATCTCTTGAGAAGGATTCTGAGACACCCCTTGGGTCAAAACTCTTAGAATATTTTGTGCCTCAATCAAGGGTCAATCTGCAATAGCTACTCAAGACTCTCGTATAAGAAAACTGGCAGACTCGAGAATTCGATTACGCAACTTATCATTGTTTTCTATACCTTTCTAGTTCTTAGCAAAAAGATTGTATTCCTGAGTTTACTAGTGTCTCAAAAGATAGGAAGTGTTAGAAAACAAAACAATAGTTGTGTCAAGTTTGAAAAACATTGTTGCTGAAAACTATTGGTGGTAAACGATCCAAAAACCACTATTGTTGTAGCAAACTATTGAAGATCTAAGAGAACCCTTATGACCCAAGGGAACTGGATGTAGGTACCACACTGGTACTGAACCAGTATAAAACTCCTGTGTTTTTAGCATTTAAATTTCTCGCAATCTATTTTCATTGCCAATCAAACCTGCTGATAAAGTTAAGTCGACTAATTATTTTGTGAGTTGGCTAAGTTTTTAATTAAGTTACAATTCACCCCTCCCCCCCCCCCCCCC